CGCGAGAGAGTCGTGCGTGTTCCTCTCTAAACGCTCCGATTAATCGAGCCGGCGTGCGCCCGAAGTAAGAAGGCTTTTGTCATCTATTATACTACGATGAGAGATGACTATCTCTCTGCACTTAATGGAACACGAAATATCTTAATAGAATCAATATACAGAAAAATACGTGAGAGCGCGATAAGCCCTCGGATAAGCCCTTTTTAAATAAATGGTCTGAAAGCTTTTAATGCGTCCATGGCACTGCGAGTGTCAAGTGGGAAATCCCGAAGAAATTATACGGATTATACGTCGAAGTTAATAAAGGCTCAATTTGATAATTCTAATAATTTTACAATTTGATGTATGGTAGATAGATAAGTATAGATTGATTGGTAGAATCAAGAGAAAGACAGGGAGAGATATAATCTTTCTCTTTTCCTTTCCTTTTTCCTCTCGCGTGCAAAAAGAAAACAATGATGTGCACATGGCAAAGAGTCCGGCGCTCTCTTCCCTATCATGTCCAACTGCGCGCGCGCGCATGAGAGAGAGAAAGAGAGAAAGAGAGAGAGAGAGAGAGAGAGAGAGACTCCCGGAGGCAATAATTATAATCGAATCAAGTTCTCGTCAAAGAAACGCAACTTTCCTCTCGATTAGATAAACATTGCTTCGCCAATTGCCCGTCGCTCGAGAGAACGTAATCGCTAATTAACAGCTTAATCGACAAAGCGGCCGTATTTATGGTACGAAAATGACCAATATATAAACGTGGACATGTACGTTCCACTTAGCCACGAGGCAAACGCGAAAAGGTACGCGACATTGGAAAGTTCGCGGACCGATGTTGATGTACGACACGCGTTAACGCAGCCGCTGTTTTTGCTGCCGTTCGAACTCGCGCTCTCTCCGATTTCAATAACGCACTCTTAGACACCGGAATTCCGGTTTAACGAGTACCGCATGAACTATGTGCCCGGAAACAAAATATCTGAAATCTTCACTCCAAAACAGGCTGGGTCCGATAAAACGGAACTAATTAACGCGCGTTCGCAGCGGTCCTCGTAAGAAAAAAAAAGAATGTACTGCGTATGAACGTATACTTGGCTCTTTCATTTTATCGATCAATATATTTTTCTCGCAAGTTGATATTTTCTAAATTCAATCATCGTACACTATCTCTACGTGAATGATTTGTGCCAGGCGTTAAAGCGCGCTGATCTTGTTTTTCACACTTTAGCTACCTAACAGTCGTTTACGAAAGTATATCCAGCATGTCGATTTTGATTGCGATGGAACGATTCTCGAAACTAGATCATCTCCTTCCTCCTTTCACCGGGGGACAATATTGAAAATCGTAAATTATTATCGGCATTGATATCATTGCCTGTCAATTAATCATAATTAATGTAAATACGTTCGGTCGAAGATGTCGTGCGATTTCGATACTTTCTAGAGTAAAAGATTTCACGATGTTCGATAATGTTCAATAACATTGAACAAGCTCGGAAAGTAAGTCAAAAATGATTCGACAATCTTTGCAGCCCTCGATTGAGGGGCTTGTGAAAACATTCTTATCATCAGAGAGCGGCTTTCACCATTGGAAATATGTGTATAAAGCAGATAGCGGCTGGACTAACAAAAATATCCCGTCTAACAAAAATATCCCGAGCGAAGGTACGGCAAAAATAAATCAGACCTAAATACGGGGATTGAAACCAATCGAAAAATATATATCGACGACCAAAGATGAAGAAAAGCTATAACAGACCCTATAGAGAGGCACATTCATGCTTCTGTAGACAACGACGAAATTTAAACGTCGTTCTCGCTTCCACTATTTTTAATCAGGATCAGTTTTAAAGTTATCTCGTAATTATTATAGAGCTACGGGAGTTCGGCGGGAGGATATCTGTCTATCTGTGGACAAGAGTCAATAAGAGATCGCGTTTCGAAGCCGATGGCAATAAGCGTGTATAATATTTTGATTGCAGGCGACGCGACGAGAAAGTTTGATTTCCTTTCTCGTGTTCTTAGATTCTTTCACAGCGCTGTTCGATAACAATAGAGACATCCTATAAGGTACCTATTGAAGTGTCGAGATACAGAAAAAGAGATTGCAATATCGATCGCATTACTACGGAGCAGATTGCACGGCATTGCTCATCTATATGTTAATCGTCAAGTATTACGAGGAAATTGTTATTTAGGTGATCTATATCGAATCGATCAAACATTTAATTAAAGAAGATGAAACGATTGTATTCTAAGAAACTATCTCACTCAAAAATTACTAAGTATTCGAGCTGTTTATTCGCTGTATATTCGCCGGGTGATGTTCAAAGTGCAAAGACGCATCGACGTGATAAGATAGCCAATTACCAATATCAAACAAAATACTATCGCGGACGATACAGTAGCTTTTTCTAGATGATAGATTTATTTGCCGATTATAATCGCCACTATAAAATTAGAAGACAACAAATTTCTTAGGACAGATGATCGCGAGATCGTCATGCTAAGGAAGTACTTCGCAACTTCTCTTTGAATATTCTCTTAAGTGTAGCAAAATAGTTATCCATCAGACCTTCAGGTTTGAAACCGTTGCATTGAGACGATCGATACACAATATGTACGGAAAACATCGGGGAGGGTGTTTCATAGCAACCTACCAAGTGGGGTTTCGCTCTTTAGGGTGATTAACCTTTAGATCCCAAAGACACGCACAATCCTGTCACATTTATTTTTATTCTCAATCTATTGTAAAACTTTGTGTGTGTGTGTTTAATTTTATCGCACATACACAAAAAATGTCCCGGAAGAAAGCTCTAGAGCTAACAATAAGATATCATGAAAGTTAAATTAGATTTTGCCAGAAACATAGACGAATAGAACAAATTCATAGAGGCCCTATGCTCCAGTTAAAAAAAAGAATATATAGGTGTATGTACATGCGTATATTTAGTCTTCGTTCCTAATCGACAGTATTTTTCTGGAACGCGCTGTAATTGTCGATTAATCGTCTGTCACTACCGCGGGCGGCCAAGTCGGTCGGGCCGCATATTATTTGTGCCCTACATACCATGATTTTTACGCGGGAATTAAACGTGGAGAGCTCCATGCGCGAGTGCCCCGAGCGTGGATCATAAATATGCGCAACCGTCATTTCCTTCGCTGGCGATATTAGGTATGCCAGTCTACGCGAGATAGGAAGGAGCAACCAGAACGCGACCGGCAATGGCGCGAGTCGTTTGCATAAATCATCGTGCTTTATTTATCTTGCGCGCGCGCTCGCTCGCTCCATTATCCGCGCGCGAACGGCCACTTTTAATAGCTTAATAGCGTACGCGCGGATGAATGGATTGCGCGATAGACCGGTCCGGAGACGATGGACGCGACGACGGTCTTACGACGAGTTGTTCGAGCGCAAAACTCGAGGCGCGTCTTCTCGGCGAAAGAAACAGCGAAACTTCCATGATTCGCGAGTCGTCGGTGTTTTCTTCTGTAAATTACCTAGGCTTCCTTCACGGCGTATTAACGCCAAGCCGCAAGCTCCACGACGCTCGGCGATGTAATTCGCCGAGCACGCTGCGCAGACTCCGCGATCTAAAATACTCCTGCCGATCAATATCCATAAAACTCTCGCGTTTCTAACGTTATACACGCGATCTTCTCGTCGCGTACATCTCACGAAAGATCTCTGACGTTCAACGCGCATCTTTTCCTGAAGCAGAGGCGTAACACGTAACGATGCTTGCGGTTGAAAACGAAGGATAACCGCGGGCGTTTAGAATTTCCCTCACTCTAGAACTAAATTACAAGAAATAACTTAACTTTAACCTTTGGTGTGAGAATAAATTGATAAATCGTATATTAATTAAATTCCGCTCCGTCCAAGAAAAGCATGTGCAGGAGTTGTCGAACCAGTCGAACGAATCGTCCGCCGATCGATCGGGCGGAAATCGAGCGGCGTCGACGAAAATAACAGTAAGGTCGAATGAAAATAACACATGATAAAATTTAATCGCGCGTAACTGGTGCTTATCGAGCGCCTCTTTTATGTCTTTGTCTTTTCTTCGCGGTCACGATTAAACGCGGGTTCGTTCAAGAGTCAGTGAGCGAACGGTGGTCGATCACCGGCGAGATTGTCCCGTGAAAAATTGCAGATCATTCGACGAGGGAGTGATATGCGATATGCTAATAGTCTGTTAAAGTGAAAAATATCGGGCCCGTAGTCTCTGGGAAACGATTGGTTCTCGACAATCTCCGAATTCTCGCTTTTTCGAAGACGTTCGTGGATGGTGAAAATGCGACTTCGAGGGGAATATCTTCAAGAGTCGACGCTTTGAATGTCTTCTACTCACGGCGCCCACGAACACAACGGGTGCGCGTATCGCGCGACAAATCGATGAGTCATGCCGCCTCGACTACGGAACCATTCCATCCCGATGTAACACGGGAGGATAACTTTTGCCGTTTCCAAAAGGGACGCGCGAGGAACGCGGTTGATGGAGGCGTAACATCGAATGTGCGAATCGTTTGTAAAACAAACTGATGCAATCGCCGATACAATTTTTACCTCGCGCGATAACATTTTCTCAAACGTAAACGGCGGTTTGTATGCTGACTCGCTCTTGCAATTATGCAAGAGGCGATGTCCAGAGTGGACTTGGCGCGCGTTTCACATTTGCACGTTTGTTTTCGTCGCTTCATTGATCCATCACCCGTCGCGCGTCATGGGGTTCTCGTGATCGACCTCGAAAACTTCGGTAATTCCGGCGCCGCGCCGGTCGCACCTGCGCACCCTTGGCGAGATGATAGCAGCCGCGGCCTTGACATCGGAGGCGCGTACCGCGTATCGCGAGGGCGACACTTTCAAGAGGCGAGATCTCGAACGACATTTTTTTATCATGGCTTTCCGAAAATTTACTAATTAATCGCGGAGCGCGTCGACGTTGACAAAGTATCGATCCCCTGCGCGGATGTACATATGTGTAGAATGGACAACAGAAGCCGAGATTTACCCTGGAGCATGTTGTGGTCGGCGTCCTCATCCGCGTGGTAGCGGACGCCGCCGATCGAGGAGGACAGCAGGCTCATTTTCGCGACGGTGGTCACCGGTGCCGTGCGCACGTCCTCGATACAGTCGAGCGGCACCGAGCGGGTCCACGTCCACGAACTGCCGCGGCGGCGCGAGGGGCCGCGGCCGCCTGGCCCGTGCGCTCGCGGAGCTATTGGCGCGCGCTCGCCGCACGGCCCACGAGCAAGCCAATCGACGTGCGGGAGCCTCGGGAGACTCGTGGGGCCTCACGGACCTCGAAGAGCTCGCGAAAAGCCGCCGGCCATGGACTGCCGGACTCCGAAACGTCACTTTCTCCCGGTGACGGCGGCGGCGGCGGCGGCGGCGGCGGCGACTACTCCCGATGCCACCTGCGACGGCGCGTCCGCCGTCTCCCTCAGGATCGCTCGTAAAGCTTTCGGATCAGGCGACCGTAGACTCGAGGATCGACCACACGGCTTTCGCACACCACGATATCCCGAACGACGGCGAGCAGCGACGCGAGCAACCACGACAGTTTGACAGCTCGCAACGCGGCCGCTCCGACGTTGTCACTCCGGCTTGACTGGCACCGCTGGCACTGCCCCGCCGGGCGCTGAGTCGCGTCCAGGCGTATAGCGAGCGTCCTCGCCGTGCCGCGCCGCGTCCCGCACCGCCTTCTTTGCCATGAAACACGGCGGCGCGTGACGCGCGATCAATAACAGTCCCTGCCGCCGTCGCCGCCGGCGACTGCGCTATCGCGTCATTATCGCCACGCTGAGGTAAGGTGGAAGAGAGGTGGCGAGGAGAAGATCCCATAGCCGCGCTGATGACCAGTGGCCAGTCATCTTCGCCTCGAAATATTTATGAATTTTTTGCCCGTATAAGGATTGAATGACCATGCGCAAATTCCGAGGGAGCATGCAGAGTAGGACTGTTCATAAACGCGCGCACGCGTTTTCTTCCCTCGCTGAGGATCGCGCGGCGAAATTGCAACGGCGTTGACGCAACGGAGGAACGCGCCCGTTGCCGTCGCGCAGAGCGAGGCAAAATTGTAGGTGAACGTCGAAACGTTATTACGCACGTCGATTTGTTTATTATTTCGTCGTGGCATAATTAACGGCAGCGGCTTACTCTCGCGTTACGCGTGTTCGCACGCAAGTTCGCCGGCGCAGCCGAATTAACATGTTCGCGTGAATTTCGTAACGCTTTGACTCGCGCAACGAGCAGAGAGGAATGATCAGATATTGGAGAAAGTCCCGGTTATCATTGTTCACGCGATGCTTCACACTACGCGCAATAAACGTCGCGTCGTATGATTTATATAGGTCTTCGTTTCTTCGCTCTCTCGCGTTATTGTATACGTTCCATTGCGTAATAATACTGCTGCTATACTGCCAGGACTGCGGTGTAAAATAACAGAAGCTTGAAAATGTTTATCTTATCCGCTTCTCTTCTAATCGTGATTTTACTATATATTTGACATGATTGAAGATGATCATAAAAACTAAAAACTTATACTAGTGACGAGCACAGTACCTTGTAGAACAATTATTGTCCTAAAATTCCGCGAGTTTTCATAAACGAAGAATACACGGATTTTTATTTTGTGAGTGATTTGTGTGCAGGAAATGCAAGGGTTTCTATTAGACTAATTAGACAATATCAACGAAGACTCCCTAAAAGAAAATTTAGCCGCTTCACACAGTCTTTACCAATGTTTGCAATGTTTATTAGTTTGACGGGTTCAATTTTCTAGGGTAATAAACTCAATGTTACATCGATGTATAGCTTGTATTGACGTGAGCGGACGGCACTTTGAAATGAATTAACTGAAATTGTTTCTTACACATTTCGTATTTTTGTTATAACTTTCTAATAAAGCATTTTAGGACTTATGTTTATATAACATTTTCTTTCCTATTTCTGCTCATAAAACATACTAGTAAAGTTTGTCCGGAAAAATTTGGACACTTTGCATTTAGTTTTGAGATTTCTTTGTTGCTCTTTATATATTGCGTGACTAATACTCTCATATTATCGACTTTGCCTGACTAAATCGCCTATATCGTACCTTTTTTCATGTATTATTACATGTTCATATATTATTATATCATTCGTCGCGACTTCGACAGTCGTTCGACAGGCGTTTTCCAGCCGGAGTGGCATTCATTACGCGCTGACATCGGCGTTACATTTGCGCGTGCATTCATGCATACGCGAGCATGTCCGTTTCGACCGGGTAATGTTTGGGAGCAATTCGCCCGTCCCGTTACACACGCTGAACGGGATTAATGTCTTATCGCATGTCGGTGAATGTTTCGTCGCACGTCCTAATCCCGAGGGAGAGAGCGGCACCCCACCCTTTCTCCCGATTTGATTACGATTTTACCGCGACAGCCGTAAAAGATTCGTCTAGCGTGTCGAGATCTGTCTTTTAAAAGTGCCCGCCGATAGCTGATAAACGGACAAACCGGATATAACCTTGCGCGAAGTCAAAAAATCGACTTTCCAACTCGATAAGAAACGACAGGTCGCATGAGCAGCGCACATGTAATTTTACACGTTAACGGTATACGTCGCGCGGGGCCCGTTTAATATTTTATTTAATGAGATAACCCGCGCGTTATCGCGGGCTATATCTGATGATTAATCCGCGCGGCGGCGCCGTGTAAATAACTAGCGCCACTAGCGGGGCCTTCATCTCGCGTGCGCGACGTACGAAAAACCCGTCGCCGGTCATTAACGCGAAGGACTTGGATTCGCGCCAGGCGGGTTACTACCCGCTGTAATTAATTGTTCCTCTATGAAAACCGGCTCCGTCCCTCTGGAGATCGATACGCGATGTCAAAGTAATGTAACGTATATTTATGTCTTCGCCGTTAAAAATCATCAGACATCAACGGTGATTCGGCACGCTTTCCGTCAAAGTTGCAGTTTTTCCGATGGAAAACAATCCCGATTTTCTTTTTCTTTTTACTTTGAGATAATCCTCCACGCCCCCCTCCCCCCGACCGAAAGAGAAAGATGAATTCGTTTAATTACGGTCAGCTTCGACAACCGTCGAATCGACGATCAGCATGATCCTAAGCGTCTAATTGGCGTAACCACCCAGGACTCCCATCGGTCATCGTCAAAGTCCAAATTATTATCTCAGCCTAATTTCACCGAGATCCCACGGCGTTCCCGCTTCCGGTAGAGCGGCGAGCGCGAGCGAGCAGGTGTCCAATCATCGTCGATAAGACTATCTCACGGATTCGTTTCGTTTTCCACGATTGGGGCGGGAAGCCGAAGGCATCGGTAACCAATGTTTACCCGCTCGCCGGTTTCCTCGAGGAAATTGCACGTTTGTAATAATAAATATCTACAATGTAACGCATGTAGCGCAAAGGAGTATCGGCTTGCAGAAAGACCCCGAGGTTCGAGTCTCTCCTAATTATTGGTAAACACGTCCCGCCTTATCTCCTGCAGATATGCCGCATTAATGATATATAATCAGGAACGATGGACAATACACGAAACGCTTCTCGCCGGCGCGGCGAATCGAACGTACCCCTGACTTTCGTAATCCTCCCGGGATTTCTCGCCGGTCTTCCTCGTCTTCGCTGGAGACGTGGTCTCCTCTTTTCGAAGATACGAGAACGTATACCGCGCGCTTCCTGCTATTAGAAGAAATTACTATTCCGGCCTGATGCCGTGGCGTGGTAGTGAAGCCGATTCCTCTTACCGATCACCAGGTTCTCAGGATCGATAGACAATTAGGATTGCGATAGACGAAGGGAGCAGAAAGAAACTCCGCTTATGAGAACCCGCTTCATCTGTCCCCGAAATTATACGCCTCTTTCGAGCCGTAGATGCCGGCGTAGATACTCAATTAAAGAGAGATAGCTTCGATTGCTTCAATTTGACGGGACGAGTACGTTCTCGATTAATTTCCGAGTCAGGGAGTCTCGAAGGGGGAAGCGAAGGGGTGATTCGCGTTTCCATTTCATCTCGCGGAGCCCCACGTTTCCCCGCACAAGTAAATTATCTTACGGCGCGTGATTCCGCGGCGAGAGTCGTGGAAAAGTCGGCCTTCCGTTTCTTGCGGTTAGAAAATGTTCACGGCGATTTCTCGCCGTCATCGCTGCCGCCACTACCATTACCGCCATCGGCGATCTTGATCCGATCTATCTCTTCCACGCGATGAGCCGCGAACTTCCGAGAGCGCAGAGCTCATCTCACCTTTTGACGACCTCTCCGTGACTGAAATCACGCGCGGTCGCCGAATATCCTTTTTCCCTCTTTCTTTCCGGCGAAGAATCCGCAAGGGAATCGCACGCGCTCTGGAAAGCTTCCAATTTGATCGGGAGAAAACCGCCGTTTCCGTTTCACCGTTATCGCAATTGCAATTGACGGCCGCGCGCGCGTACAGCTGCGTCCGAACATTTTTTTCTCGTGCCGCTCTTCTCGATCGGTATGCGAGACTAATCGTCATGGTGGAGCTACCTAACGACCCGTTGCGATCCGATACCGTAACGTTGTTGTTGTTGTGTCGTCCCGCGGTCTTTCTACGCTCGACATTCGCGTATCTATCGGATGTATTCTGCACGTGCTTCATCTGGAGCATCCTTGACGTAGAAGACGTAAGAAGCTACGCGATCTACCTGTTTTATTCAATCTTACTTTTTATAGTTATTTTATCATCCAATATCGTACATGTATTCTCATTTAGGTTCTCATTTAGGTTCGGTTTACGCCTCACCTAGTTCACGTTCTGTTCTACGATCTGTGTATACTTCTTTCATGCTCTGCTCACCGCGTTTTTGCCGTATAATCCATCCATCTTGTGTTCTGATCATCTTGTTTTTAGTACGGAAGAGGCAACGGCTTTGCTGGCGCCTTACACCTTTTTCATTCATGCTGTTTGTAGCTATACCGAACTATATAATTATGTAAATCAATCTCATATGTACGCGATAAAGTTATTGTTATCCAGAGCGACTTCGATCAGATTCCGATTAACTTAATCGACGATTAATTCAATCGATTTTAATTGTAGCAATTATAGCAAATTTGTTGATTATATAAATTGTTCTAATCAAACAATATACAATTAATAATTGTACTATTCTAGCTTGAAACTGCGTTTTAAAACCGTTAGTAACAGCACGTGGTTTGCTAGGACGAAGAATTGTAAAATTCACAAGAATAATATTTATTAGGCTACCACAAAAGATCCAGTCCTAGTTGTAAAGACATTTTCTCTATAATCGAATTAATAATTTTATTCACTTTAGTGAAATACTACAAATGTTATTCAACAAATTAATCGCCAATTGCAGAGTCAATCGAAGCTCGATCGAAGCCACCTCCAAAATCGCAGCGATTGGAATGAGAAATGTTAAAAAATTTAAAATTTTCCGCTTCTCAAGGAAGGATAATTCGAACTCAATCTTGAGATCACAATCGTGAAAATTGACGATATTTCCTGGCGAGGCTTTTCACGCGAGACGCGTCCACGTGTGATTGTTCTCGCGCGTGCGCTGATCGATTAAATCCGAACAAAACACCTGTACTGCGCTGACCTTATATCCAGGAAACAACGAGATAGGACGGCTCGTCGTGAAACCTTCGGGAGTCTGAATCGTCCGCGGGATCGCGACTCGCGAAAGGCGACGGGGATCGATGGGAAAGTATCGACGGCGCGCGCGAGACAGCGAACTGAACGAACTTCGATGAATGCGAAACGAGGCGAAGCTCTCGTTAACGAAGGAAAGCTGCGAGCGGGTCGATTGATGTCACTCGATCTGCCAATTACGCGACTCGATAAGTCGTTCGCAGCGCGAAAACTCGCCGGGAGCCGGGAGCGTCGCGTCGCGCGAATCATTCGGATTCCGCCGAGGGAAAAGCGGATCGCGCGGACGTATTTCGCGTGTTAGAAATACTTCCGCAAACGCGAACTCTCGCGGTGATTATTCTCGCGAGCGGCCAAGACTTTAACCAACGCATTGTTCATGCACCCAAAGAATTTTGTTCATCTTACCGCGTAATGGTAGAATTTTCATAAAAATATAAGCAAATTGATAGCAGTCTGTCAGCAGATTGGTAACAGATTTGATCAGAAGACATGTCAATAGACAATTAACTGCGTCCGCATTTAGCTTATGTTCTGCCAGCAGAATTTGCTAACGCCAGCAGAAACCGCGCAGAGCCTGAACAGTTCCCGCAGGATCCGCTCGATTTCTACCGATAATCTGCTGTCTGATATCATGTTAGCACAGACTTTGTTATACTTCTGTTGGCGATCTGCCGACATCACGTGATATATCAGACAAAATTTATAGCAGATACTTGGTAAGATCTGCTTTCGACAGACTTGGCTGTTGGGTATAATAATTATGAAAAAATGTATTTTGCAAAAAGTAAATTTGGTGCGGGACGCGATAGCATCTCTTGATAAAACCCTGTGCAACATGAAAATCAATTTTTATTTCATTAAAACCGAAAATTATTAATTGTCGAATAGCTTTTTACTTTACATTGTCTAGCTATATATTTATGTCACCTAAAGTTTTATCTTAAATGGTATTTAGTTTTTACAAGCGTTTTCACTTTTGCCGGACGATAACGCGCCGATGCAATGCGGGAGGATCGCGGCGTTTAGACGAAGCGTGCAGACCGTGCAGACCGCGTTTTACGTAATCGCGCGCGCATGCCGGCATAATTTAATGAGGAAAGTGTGTAATCGAACGACGTGTCCACGCGCCAAACGGCACGGCATGGCGCGGGCGCGCGCGGCGCGTAAGGCGTTTGCGTCGGATTATACGCGCGTGTGTAATAAATAAGACTTCGAACGGGCGCGATTACGATCGTTCAAGTCCTTTCCCACGTACGACACGGCGTCTTGCTCGCGCAAAGAGTAAAAAGGGAATCTTTTTTTTTAGCGATGCGTTGCCGTATCCGCGGCGCCAAGTTTCGCGCTGCGAAATGACCGTACATCTTCCTCTATGAATCGAAAAGAACACAATTTCCCACAATTTTTTCCCCGTTACGAGACTTATGACTTACGACGGCTCGCTGTTGCGCGACTCTTGGAAAAGAGCAGCTGGAATACCGGCGGCGTTATCAGGGGAACGGACAGAACCCTCTCGAGAGCTGTGTTTTCGCGAACATTGGACTCCAAACGGTTTAAACAGACATGCGGAAGCCGATCTACTCTCGTCGACAGTCTCGTCGGAGCCCGAAATGTCACGAGCCGCTTTCGTAACAAATGTCGTAATATATACTCGCGGCTTCTCGTACAATGTTTCGATAATCAGCAGTCTCGCCGAGAGCCTCGTCTTAACGAGCGTACCGTCCGAGAGGTACCGTTATAATTAAAATACATATAGAAATGCCCGCGCTATGCCTCACCGTTGTACGTCCAGCTGTCGAGGTCGTGGCAGAGCATGGTCCAATCGTTCTCCAGATCCTGAGAAGTCGCCATGGTTGATGATCTCGCGGAGTGAGCCACGATGTCGTCGATCGCGAGAAATTAGCGTGTCTCACGTGCGTTTTTTACCTGTGGCGACGAGGTTCCTTGGTTGAAATAGCCTTAGCGAGTTTACCCCAGAAAAATTCGAGCGGCGACGTTTATTCGAATCGACGTTCGATCACGTGTGCGATTTGTCGAAAATCGTGCAAAACGACAACGGTGACGACGGATCGTTTGCTTGAAGGTCCGTGAAGATGTCTACGGGAATCGCGCGGAACGCGGGCGTTCGTGGCACACGAACCACATGAGCGAAAGAACACAAGCCGAGATTGGAGCACATGAGAGCGTTTAGAGCGACACCCGGCTGCGTTCCACGCGCCTGGACACGCACCTGAACGCACGGAACGCGGCTCGTTTCATCTCTGCTTCGCCTCGCACAGTCGCCAATTTTCGCGTTGTTTGTTTTTAAAAGCGCGCTCTCTGCCGTGCCATTCGCCTGTTCACACATGTATGTATGTACATACACAATACACGCGACACGCGACGACGCCGACGGAACGATGAGATGCTCGACCTACGAGTGTAATAAGATAAATCCAAAAATTTCCGACTCAAGAATATGAAAAAACTGAGATAAATTAAAAATCAAATTATTATTGGTAAATTTTGTTTACGCAAATCGGACTTGAAAGATGAAAAATTATCACTATATGGGCTAAATCGGAACTGTCAACATCTTTTAAGATATTTTTTTAGACATCTTAAAGACGTCTCTACGATGTCTCTTAGACATTAGACATGCGTGCTGTAAGGATAATGAGGAAATGTTCTCCACAGTGTTAAATCATTTTAACAACAAAAATTCAAGATATCTTTTTAGTAGTACAAAAAAATTAATTCATCGTTCGAAAAAATATATTGAAAAAAAGAGGAACTTTTGGATCTGACTACATAACTCGTTACGGATGCCGATGATTTTGTCACACGATATCTGATAAGACAGATCAACATGATTTTGATCCGATTAAAGGTCTAGGAGTAGGCTCCGATGAATCTAATAAGCGATAACGATTGATTCAAACACCTTGTTATACTTTGCTATCTTTCTTTCATGTATTTATTACGTGTTTTTTTTTTTTAATTTTTCTCTTGTTCATATCCAATACGACCAAAAAAGTGACGCAAACGAAACCTTCCATAATGTTCGATAAACGACTGATGGTCATCATAAATCGCGGAATAAAATTGAAAATATTTTATTGTAATATATTCAGTGGCACGAGAGCTACAGGTAGAGATAAGATACGAAAAAAATGAATTTTTACGAAATTCTCATTTAAATAATCGCTGAATTATACAAAAAGCATATTATCTGTCTTCTAAATGTCTCTTTAGAAAACAGAATTGAAAACAAAAAAAAACTTTCGACAAATATTTAATGTGATATTGGCAAATCGACCGTGACTTTTTGCATCGAATAGTTTTTCAGTCGTTTATTAAATCTTATCGAATCATAATTATTCTAAATACCAAATTCCTTCTCAAGTTTACGCCATCCATGATTCATGTTGCTTAAAATGAATAAAACAAGTCTCTGGATACAAGTATATGTATATGAAGATTATTTATTTATTCCTACAAGTTCAAACACGAAGCAACTCGAGACAAGTACTCTTTAAAAAAAGTAAGAACATTATTATTATTCGACGTAAGCACTCCTCATAAATAAGTTTCGTTTAGCTCAGCACGTTAGGTTACTTATCGCTAACTTAAAAGCTATTTTTGTACATTACGCGTTTGTACACAGAGTAATATGTTGCAAATTTCGTTTGGAGATATGTCTCTTACAAAAATGCGCGTAAAATGCAATAGAAAGCAGTCTTCCACGTTAAATATACATATCGGCGACATAAATAACGACAATGAATACGTTGGACTTGCGATAAGACCAGAAGGTGAGCAAAAGTGAGTGAAACGGGTATACCACTTTTTGGCGGTCAGCACATTAAGGCCGGTTTTCACACGCAATGATTGGTGGCGCCAGGCCGCGCCAGTCGACTAACGCCAGTAAAAATGCAAGTGTAAACACTTGATACAAACTGGCGCTAGTAATGTGGCGTTTACTGGCGGTTGTTGGCCAAAGCATATAACCTCAAATTTGGAGGTTATATGCTTGCTGTCATTTACTGTGTGTTTAATAAATGTTAAATATTTTCCATAGTATACGCCAATCACTGTGTAAATACTTGTGAGTTTGCTAGTCGGTTCTGGCGCCAATGAATGCCAGTCAGTTGGCGCCACTAATCATTGCGTGTGAAAACCGGCCTTTACTCACTTTACTCATCATAATGATAAACTCCACTTCTCGATGATCCGATGATACTGGCGCACTTACATTAATTAAAAATCGTTTATAAACGATGGAATACGAATACTTTTTTCACTCGTTACATGTGTATGAGTAAACGACGTTTTATAGAGTAGAAAAGTCTCCTAAATTCCGTCACGCGAGCATTGAAAATATTTATGGAGAAAGGCGGACTTCTTCTATGGTTGAAATTAAGTTGTCCAATCCATATAAGAAACCCTCTTCGTGGTTGCCCTCCTCCCAAGGACGCCTGTGCGTGAGTTTTCGTCCGTCCGGCACCTCCCGCGTTTTCGCAAAATCTATTAGCCAAACGCCCACCTTTTCGCTGTCGAAAATCATGAAAATACTACTGCCGATTACCTGAAAAATAAAATAATGAGTTTGAACAAATAGATGTACAAAATAAACCTTATGACAATCGGCAGAAACAAGTAACGTATCGTACCTCGTGAGTTTCAAAATATTTCGACTCCTCAATTTTAATTCGTAGACTCTTGAGACGCGCGAGGATCTTTTGACGAGTGTCCTCGCGCTTGCTGAGAAATTGTCTTATGATGTCGAGCACCTCCGAATGCGACTTGATCTTTTTGAGATCGGTGATCGGCGGTGCACCTGGCAGCTTCATCGCCTCGATGCGAAAACCGTGGCTGCAGGTCGAGCTCTGCTGTTCGCGGAACTGCATGTACCGTAATTTAGTCACGGCGCGTTGCTCGTGCTCCAGCTGGGTCGGTGCGTCCGGATCGACGGCAATCATTTTCTGATAGAGGTCTGGCCTAGCGGTGGTCTTGGACACCTCGGACTCGAGGAAAGTCCGCGTGCCCATCTTGATATCCATCACGTGCGGATCGTTGAAACCGAAGAGCAGATCCTGCAGCTCGATGAACGTGTCGCCCTTGTACTCAACCTCCCGGTAATATCTGCGAGGAGCAACAAAAGTTGAGTCCTGAGGTCTATCCTACCTACTTACGTCGCCATAAAAAACCGAAAGGATTTTCAAGCAAACCTCGGAATGCAATCCCGCAATGCTTCCTCCTTGCTCAGGGTCTCATAAACAATGCGCTCCGTATTTTCAGCGCCACCGGTCTTCCTCTTCCAGACGGTGCCAGGACCGGCGGGTGCAAAGCCGTCCGGGTGGCCCGATAGTTGAAACCAGGACTTTAGTCGGTTCTTTAAGAGTACGTCGCTGGCTGGCGCTGTTAGATCCAGAGCATTCTGGAACATGAAAGATGACGTAAAGTCAGGTAAAATGGTTTTTCGGAAAACGAGCGCACACGTGTGTGTTACGGACTAGCTAGGTATGAATATAAATACACGTACCAGGGCGAGGAATTTCAAGGAGAGATCCTCGTCCGGCATCGTCGCGTCTGACAGGACCAGGGGGAATTGTTCCATCTTTCGTATGGTGGCCGGATCGTTGGGCAATTTGGCGAGCAAGCTGGATGATCTGGAGCCAGCGCTGCTGGATCGGTTGCCGCGAGAGCCCATCGAAGTGCTCCGTCGCCATTGACGGAAGGCGCTGTAAGTGCTGCTACTGCTGCTGCCGGGCCCATCTTTCTGTCGACGGTGGTCCTTGTTGCCCATCGAATCATGACTGCTCAATTGCGTTTGCTCCTTGCTCGAGGGCTGCAACCAGAGAGGCCTACTAAGAATTTAATCCAACCGGGACAAATGTGTTACGCTATAGGGCGCGCCGCCTCGAAATTTCAGTCGTCCGGAACCGGGGGGGACTCGATACGACGAGATTGCATCCGACCGGATCGGCCTCGCCACTGAAGCGGGAATCAATAAATTTGAGACGATCTTCGATCACAAGATGATCCGAGTTATCTCGTTACGTTGAAAGTGACAAGCCTGCGCGCGAGCGCGCGCGCGGTGCGCGAAGGCTGTTTATTATTATTCGCGTTAAGTCGCGTTACCGCGCGCTTTTCGACGTGAATATTCGATATCGCGATACACCATTCATTTTAATCTCCGCGCGGCAAGGTCCACGTGTTTGATAATTCGACCGTGATTTCGGCCTCGATTATTGGCTCGCATCTCATCTCATGTCTCTGCGATTGCGGGTGACGGCAAACTGATTAGTTATTAATTGGACGTTTGATGGATCGCGGGAACGTATTATTGACTTACACGTAACCAGATAAATGTCGCGAATTATCGGCGGATCTCATTACGAAGTTGACAAAAAAAGAACGGACAAAAAATCGCCCATGATGGGCATGATGCCGCCGTCACCCGCCGGCCGCCGTGCGTGCCTCTCTGAAGGAGGATGCAAGAGGGAGGGGAAAGGAAGGAAAGAGAAAAAACAGAACTCGAGGCGCGATTGTTTCATAAATACGGATCGCGTCTCACGCTACCTACTGACGTCAGTGACTTTTATTCAAGTTGCACCGTGCCACTTGTCGCCGCATAGCAGGGCCGATTTCAGCGTGTTCGCGGTGCGCGATCGCTTCGAAAGGGGAGGGAGACCGGGAACGGGGGAGAGACGATCGAAATGTCGAGGTTCTTAATGCAAGGCGATGATGCGGTTGTTCGCCGTGTGTATCTATTTGTGTTATACCTCGCTTAATTTAGACCGGCGAATTTAACATTTTTTCACAGGACTTGAATTTCGATTCCACATACTCGATGGCGAATTAATTCTCTCAATTTATACTCATTACACGCACGGCACGATGTTCGCATGCTTAAGGTGTCTTCGATCGGAAATTTCAGTTAACTTAATCAGCGATTAACTTAAAAAGCAGGTAACACCTGTACTATTCTGTTAACATAGACTTATTAACTTGAACTTTTTGTTGTTCAACATATGGAACGAAAAATATTATATTACAGACAACGAGTTGCGTAGGTATAGCTAAAAATTTTGCTTCAAGTAATTTAATTGAATTGTAATTGAATTTAATTTTGAATTGTAATCGATGATGAATTCTGCAGAAACTTTGAAGTTGTCCTTAGTCCGGATCTACAATAGGTGTTTTAAGTCCTAAGCCCTAAGAAATCGACCAATTACAGTCGATTATTCTCCTTAAATTCGAATGTGATTGATCAATTTCTTAAGGCTTAGAGCTTAACCCTTTGTAGTCCCACATGGGTCAATTTGACCCACCTTCCTCTTCCAGACGGTGCCAGGACCGGCGGGTGCAAAGCCGTCCGGGTGGCCCGATAGTTGAAACCAGGACTTTAGTCGGTTCTTTAGTCGGTTTGGATCTAAATATCAGCTAAATGCCTAGCTTAAAATGGGATTTGGTCCGCTCCCTACAAGAGTTTGAAGTATCCTCTATAGGTAGAGACCGTTAATCATGTACCCGCTCACGATTTTTTTTTCAATATGTTGCCATTTGATTTCTCACAAAACCGCAGTTGTTTTATTGTTCCAGAATTATTTGAACCCGATCGGACCGATACCATTAAAATGGCAACCATTAAAAATCGACTGGGTCAATACGATCCAGTGTGACTATACCGCGGGATTCTAGAGAAATGTGACTACGAAGGGATAAAATGCCTATTGCAGACCCGGGCTTAAGCCCGTACCAGACTACGGATTGGGATTGAGATTGGATTAAAATTCGACCAATCAATGTAAAGTTCACTTAAACTTGAGATCAGTTTTCTCTATTCTCATTGATTAAATTTCAATCCTATCTCAATCCCAATCCGTAGTCTGATACGGGTTTTAAGGAAATTCGCATTAACTCATCAACTCTACAAATCATCTTGCGAATGCGTCTTACATACAAGATAATCTTCGCGAGATAATAAATTAAAACGATAGTCACCTTCAAAATATATACAAATCGAGATACAAATATATGCACTGCCCAGTTAAGGGGATATTCTACTGTAAAATGCGCTTTTTTCGGGATTTTTTTACAAGAAACCAGTGAAAATTGTTAGTATCAGCTTTTTATGTATATATTTTATTATCTTTAGAGAACATAAAAAATATTTTTTGAAGCTGAATTAATGAATATAAATATTAATTAAGCCCTATCAAATACATGGCAAAAAAACGGTGCCCATGATTGCGCCCATTCTGATTGTCTGAAACAAAAAATTCAAAAAGATTCTTAACCCTCAGTTACCTCACCTGGGTCTGAGAGACCCTGCACATTGTTAAAACGTGCAAGGTTTTCAAAACATTCATAAAACCCTTATATCTTTTTTTAGTCAGTACTACATCAATTTGAAAAAAAGCAAAGTTTTTCGCTTTTTCAGAAAAACACGTCTTCCTCTTTTTTAAAATAACATTTACATTTTTTAACTTGGAATAATCTAACTTGCACAGTCTTGTAGATCTTTAAAAGACGCATTGATTAAAAAAAAAAAAAGACTTCAAATTGATGCATCTGTCTTGAAGATACAGGCTGGAGAAAACGGCAGGGGTCTCTCAGACCTTCGTGAGGTAATATCGGGGTGTAAAAACGTAAGGTAACTGAGGGTTAATTAGTATGAGTTTGGCTATAGCAGGAACTAGAATTAAGTAAAAAAAAATGTTTTTACGACTTTGGCAACCTTCGAAAGATTAAGAAAATTCATACTAAATTTTCAAAGTGCCGCCATTTTTAAATTTTCTATTTTTTTATTCCATTCTAGTTCAGACAACCAGAATGGGCGCAATCATGAGCACCGTTTTTTTGCCACGTATTCGATAGGGTTATTAATATTTATATTCATGAATATAATTAATATTTATATTCATTAATTCAGCTTCAAAAAATATTTTTTATGTTCTCTAAAGATAATAAAATATATACATAAAAAACTGATATTAACAATTTTCACTTTCTTGTTGAAAAAATTCCGAAAAAAGCGCATTTTACAGTAGAATACCCCCTTAAGGTATTACTTTTCGCTACAGTGTCAGTCTTACACCAATCTCTCGTTAATGATACTAGAACATGAGTACATCCCGCGCTAAGCTCGAATGTCTATTTTCTCTATCCTGCATTCTCGATCAACGCGCTAAATCAACGAGCCATTAATTTCTCTTTCTAATTACAATTCCTTTGTCGACTTCTCTTTATATCTCCTCGTGTTATAACGCGCAGTATTACAATTTAGATAAGCAAGGAAGTTCTTTTATCGCTAATTTTATCAATGTTTTTATCAATTTTATCACGATAGAACCAAACGAAAAGTACAGCACAGTACAAAATATTAAGCTATTTTAACAGTGCGGTTTCTTTCTATACTTAGAACTGAAATGTATAATCTTATCGCATCATGCACACATCGTAGATTACCGTAAAATTTCGCAAACAACCAAGATTGTTCAGTCAGCTGCCGACAAATCGCTACAATAGGCCTGTTCGTTTTCGCTGCACTTCTGAATTAGTGCAATAAGTCAGAATGAAACAAATATATTTTCTTTCATTCTAACTTATTGCACTAGTTCAAAAGTACAGCGAAAACGCACAGGCTTATAATGTTTCACCGCCGCAAAAATGTTCTGCGGGCTCCTCGTAATAAAAAAATCTCCACAACAGAAAGGAAAATGACTGAAAAAAATGTTTCTGAAAAAATACGGAGGATTACGTTCGTAACTATGAATATACGCCTGCGTTTTAGAAAGGAAAACAAGCGTAAATGAATGTTAATTGTGCATAACGACGGCGCCGTAACGTGCGCACTAAGTATAGCCTCCGTCCGTTAAGTTCGGCCGGACACGCGTTCGGATCAATCACGCTCGCGGTCATCCTGCCTCGAATCGCCGCTAAATGGCTTTTGTGGCGATAAATAGAGCCGGGCAAATGGTGCCGCGAGTAACGCGACGCTTTAACGTTAACGAAACTACAACGCGCGGGCAATAGATGTTGTCCGGCGCGGACAATCCGCCTGCGTGTTACCTTGCGCCGTTACGTGCCGCTCGCGCCCGCGCCCGATTCCCGTTATTAAATTACCACGGCGAGATTATTACCAACGGCAAAACGTAACCAACTCCCGTGGCCGTTCAGCGCGACTCGGTAACAAGTGTATCCGCGCGCTTAAAACTGTGTCAACCGCGCGCCTCGAGCGATCTGTCGCAGCCGCGTATCGCTCCGCGAAATTGTAAGACATCGTCGAGCGGGTTCTTTCGTTCCAACTAGGTTACACGCTTAACCCTTTCAACCTGCCAGGCTGAAGTGGCACGCTGACGCGTCCCGTCGCTGGACATCCCTGCCTGTCCAGTGTCCGGAGAGAGATCGTTCGGCGTCTCCCTCGACCTCGTCCGTCGAGATCGAAACGCGCGGAGAGATTTCACACGACAAAGCGTCTCGTGTCACGAGAACTCGTGGTATCCGTAAATTATGAATTTATGAATATTCCTCCCCGTTTTCCTCGTTTTCTCCGCGCTGCGTCCAACTGCGAGATCGCGGCACGTGGACGTGTAATATTAATGCCACTACATATCATCAATGATGACTGTGCCGCTCGGTAATGCGCGCGTGCGTCATTAATAGGAAAACCTATCATTATTTTTCACGCGTATTCCCGTATCAAGGCTTCGCATCATGATTAATCGTCGGTATCCGCCTTTTGCGATACCGCGAGAGGCGAAGCGAAGATCCATCCGGGTCGGAGATTAGTTCGAGGAGGATTCGAGGAAGCGCGGCGAGGCGAAGAAAGTTGGAAAGCTTCGGAAAGAACGAAGATGTACCTACGTCACTGCTCGAGCGACCTCCTGTTGCGCCAGCTGCATCGAACGTGTTCCTCTATTCTCTTTCTCTTTTTCTCTCACGGTAAAAAAAAAGAAATTTTATGCACTGCAGGCATAATATGTTTATCAACAAATTAAATGCAGGAAAAGATACCTGATTATTCGTCACGTTCGTTGGTCGAGTAGAAACGTTGATAAAAACGGCAAGATTATTTACACGGTTTTACGATACACGATAAAGAGATGAAATATCTTTCAATGCGCCCGCGCGCGCGCGCCGTGGCTTACTATAAGTCATTAATAGGTGCTTTCCACTTACATCAAAACTCAGATAATTCTCACTTGTGACGTCGTTCTATCCTTTTTGAGAATTAATAAATAATAAAAACAGAATGACATCACAAGTGAGAATTATCTGAGTTTTGATGTAAATGGAAAGCAACTATTATATTCCAGCTTGTTATATATTGTTATATTTTAATTTTTTTTAGTTTATTATAGTTCAGATATTTTGTATAATGACCATAGTTTTACGTTATGACTTAAGGTTGTATGACCCCTTAAAAGAAAAAATGCCAAATTCTTCAAACTTTGTCAGGTGATGAGTATTATAATAATAAAGCATTGTGCCAAGTTTGAACAAGTTTGCGAGGCCCGTTCAAAAGTTATAACAATTTGAATTTAACATGGGCTCTTATGGAAATTCATCAAGTTTCACTGTTTTTTCAACTTCATTTGAGAAATTAATATCGAAGAAAATATGGCATCCTTTTAAAACTTTGCAGAAATATTAATAAACATCTTACAAACAAATTAGAACCAAAAAAATTATGACTTCGAGGATATTTTCTGAAATATTGAATAAAAACCAAACAGAGAACAGTCTCGCTTGGTCTCACTGAACTCGTAAGTACAGAGATCCGGCAACAGCGCACTATAACGTCACATTAGAACCTCTCTCTCCGTCACTCTCCGTAAAGGATAACAAATACTACAGAGGTCCGTTACTTTTTCCAATAGAGCCTCCTGTGTATCGAAAGTGTGCTCTGAGCACGTGTAATATACAGACGCATCGTTTGAGGTTAGTTTTCGCTTGCGCTACGAAAATGCCAAAAGTAAAACGTTACATGTGGAAAGGAAAAGTTGTCACTGAAAAAGTGTACAATCAACGGTTAAATAGCACAGACAAATACTGGGAAACGTAATTTGAAGACACGAGTCGAAACCACACCAGATGATTGTAACAATTCCATGGCACATGTAACGTTTTACTTTTGGCATTTTCGTAGCGCAAGCGAAAACTAACCTCAAACGTTGCGTCTGTATATTACACGTGCTCAGAGCACACTTCGCGTTCACGCAGCTGATGTCGAGTGAGATCAATGCTACCAACTTACAGAAAATGCGACGTTGTCGCGATCAAAATACTTTTTTATGAAAGCTATTGTATTTAATTTATTAATAAATGACGTAAATAAATAACGTAATATAATTTTATTAGTATTTTTAAACAGTAATTACTATGTTTTGTTACTTTTTAAAGATTTTCACACTTTCAGATTTTCGTTTGTGTCAGTTGCAAGTCAGGTACAGTCTTTCTAAAAATCATTAAAAGTGAAAGTTAGCATACGAGAAAATATGCATAAAAATGTCTCTATAGCTCTTAAAAACATAGGCAACCGTCATTTTAATAAAATATTAACATAAATATTACTTTCCAGTAAAGAATATCTTCTTAAATATGCTAATTAGCTTTATGTTACGTTTCTTAAACTTTTGGCAGAGATCTTACGGGTCATACAACCTTAAGGCCGGTCTACAATCAGTCGTATGTCGGAGTCGGATGTCGGAACCACGGTCGTGAATACAGGTCTGGAAACTCTAGTAGTGGGGGGTGACTCGCTTAGTGAAGTCATTTTATGTAGTTGACACTATCACCACCTGGAGCGCTGGAGGTTAGAGATTTTTTAAATAACGCAAATACATATTTAAATTGACATATAACATATGACATATAACATATGTCATATATTATATATAACATATTACATATTGACATATTGAATGAACGAACGTACGAAGTCCTAGAAAGTGATTAAATTGACAACGAAATTAATCATATTGTGTCGTGCCAAATTGCAATCTGTTAAATTGCTGCAGCAGCTTTTAGCGTCATTAGTAGAATTAGGTTTATATTCATTTGGCAATGAAGTAGCTAGCCTTTGCTGTGATACAATCCAAGCCTTGACCATGCACATTCACAAAGAAGTTACGCAAGGACGGCGGTGCAAAGACATAATGGCACCCTTTGAACGTAAGTTTTTACAAGCGATAGCTTATGAGCATATAAACGTACCTTTTAGGATACAGCAAATTTTGAAATATTAAATTTTGCCTTTCAGTTGCTGATAAGTCTCATTTTGTCACATTAAATGAATTCAGATCTGATCTCGAACGCCAGTACGCCTCTTTACCATTTCATATATTGCTATCAAGAACAATATCAGCAACTTGTACAGAATATTGTATCCAGTCAAACGGATCCACAAATAGCACAAAGATTAGTGAATGGCATTCACCGAGCTAACGACGGATATAGACTTTAGTATGGACTTGAATAACCGTCCTCAGAGATTGAAGTTCAAAAGTAATTTAAATAAATTTGTCGTGAACATACAAGGATTCTTAATGGTTAAGTAAAATAGAAATTAAAATGTAAATAAACAAAAATAAAATCATTATTTAAACAATACACCCGTGGATTTAATGCTTAACGCTTGGAATTTTTTAACGAATTTAGTTAACGACGTATTTGTAGAAAAATCGAATTAGTTCAGTTCATTGCTTTAATCATATTAATTGTACGGTGTACGATGAGCATTTTTAACATATAGATGTATTTTATTTTATTTATGGATTTTATTGCAAAAAGGGGACTTAAGCATATAAGCTTTTTATTTTATTTTTGTAAAATAATTATAAAAAAAATCAATAGTCAGAATCGAACTAAAAACGGTAAGACTGCAAGGCGGATCTCTTGCTACCACTCATCCATATTTGAACTCATTTAAAACGTTGATTGAGCCAACTATTTACAAAACTCGCTGCTTTTTGCATATACTATTTTCTATCTTACATTTATTATAAAAATATTGTATTGGTTAAGGCCTCCGCAATGAAAAATATAAGGAACAAGGAACAGATATTAGCGATTAATGTTATTCCTGATTTCTTATTTTTAATCGCTAATATCTGTTCCTTGTTCCTTATATTTTTCATTATGCGGGAGCCTTTACGGTGAAACGGATTAGTGGACAACGCATATGCGTGATAAAAAATCCTTGCAACGCAGCGACGCGCGTGGTCACATGGCAAACCTATGAAAATATCGTCATTAAGCGAGTCACCCTCACCACCAAAAAAACGGACGAGTTTCCGGACCTGTATTCACGACCGTGGTCGGAACGTAGCCGATGGTCTAATGAGAGAATTTCTTTTTCGGAAACGAATTTTCCTCATTGGACCATCGGCTACGTTCCGACATCCGACTCCGACATATATACGACTGATTGTAGACCGGCCCTAAGATTAGTACTAGATAAGGACCACAACCCCCATGGTCGAAATATCGTGATAAGTTAATATTCAATGAAGTGGCCAGTCAGATCGAAATAAATAATTGTTTATTATATATGTATTATATGTAAAAAAGATTCCTCATTTCCCAACGGATTTCTTTGAAAAAACTTCGAATCTGAAAGAAGAAAGGACGGCTGATGGTTGATAGAAATCGAAGGATATTGAAATGAAGAATCTTCATCTTCATTTATTCTCGATTTTTCTAGACGAGCTATTCTCATACAAGGAGTTCTTATATACGTACGAATAAATGGATCATCAGGGACGCAACATCACTTTTTATTTAAGGTCACTATTTCCAAAGTCTGTTAACCTCTAACGATACGTTGACGACCGTCAACTTTTCAGAATAGCCAATAAATTTGTTCGTGTTGCTTGAAATTTTAAAAAATTCCTGCACTTAAAACGAGATAAATCTACATTGGGCGTTGGAGAAAGAAAAAGAGAAGATTCCAAGTGCAAAAAGTGCAGACAACGCAAACAGACCTAATAGAAGCTGGTTAACAGTCGGTTAGAGATTAACAGATGTTGAAATCAGCGACCATTATCGATCACTTTTTTCAATGTACGCTACCTGTTCTGTCCAGAGACACAGAGCGCGCATTTCTTTTTTTTTTTCATCTCATCTTCCCGCATTTTCTATTTACTACATCTACGTTACTTGCGTTCTAGAAAAACGCGTGTTCCCGGAATAGAATGAATAGATTATTCTGAAATATATATTACGAGCACTTTAGTTCCACCACGCGGTGGAATCGATGAAACCGCTTTAACAGACGAACACGAGTCGAGTTATCTCGATTAACTAACAAACGGCCATCGCGCCGACGTAGCCTTCGTTCAGGACACCCTGTACGATACACGGTCACTCGTCGAGATGAAATCGTGGACGTAGGCCCAGTGGGGTAAATGCGTGAACAATAACGGGTCAATGATCTTCCATTGAAAAACGAGTAGTATAGTTACACGATTCGATTCGGTGTTGCGCGACATAAGTATCCCGTATCCCGAAGGTCCTTCACGAATTTTTGTACGCCGGGGTACTCCGGTCGCGTTAAACGACGTGGCCTGCCCGGTTATCGTTGATTACGTCAATCTAGAAGAGCATGTAGACACAGCTGCGTGCGTATGCGCGCCGTTTGCGCATTTAATCTCATACTTGGCATTCCATCGACGCGTCCTCGCGCGAAACGGGAGATTCTCGCGAGAGGCGCGGAAAGAGAAAAGGGCACGGGGAGCGACTGGCCTCCTCCGTCCCCCTCCCACTCCCCCCGACAATCCGGGGTACCGGGGATTGTGTCGATCCGCAGGGCGGCCGCGTACCTTGTTGAAGTGCGTCTGTAGAAGCCGCTCATACTGATCGACCGCACGCAGGCAGAGCCTCGTGGTGAATGCTTCCATTCGTGCTGGCAGGGGCGCGTGACACACACTGCTCGACATTATTTATCCGTTTGGAACGCGTTGCGCGCACGAAATACCACAGGCGTGACGTGACGGAGAGTCGACGGCGGCACTGTCCGGACTGTGTCCCTCTCTCGCGCGCGCGCGCGCGCGTTCTCGGCTCGGGATCGTTCACCGGGAGTGTTTCACTTCAGCGCGGACGAACGTCGGCGAACCTAACCTCCATCGGGTGCCGGCCGAGGCGAGGCGAAGGCGAATCGACGAATGACGCGCAGGGCGTCGCGCGGTCCACGAAACCACCCTGTAGGCGCGCGCGAGCGCGAGCGTGCGCGCAGCCGATTGGCCGAGCCGACCGAACTCGGCTACGACTACGACAGTCCCTAGCTCCCTCCTTCTCGCACCCGTCGCATTTGCTCTCACTCCGTCCCGCTCGCTTCTTCTCACTTCCGTTTAGCGCTGTCGTCTTCCCTCCAAACTCGCTCGACTCGTTCTATCTTTATCCTGCTCGCCGCGTTACACTTCCCGTGTCGCCCTCCTGCCCCTGCCGCGTCGCCGCATCATTCTCCTTCCCTCTCTTGCTCCGACCGGACCGATCTCCTTCTCTCACTCTTTCTCTCTCTGTCTCTCGCATGCGCGCGCGCGAGTGCATTAACGTCACCGCTTCTGCGTGCCGCACAAATATACTCGGCTATGCTACGCGAGACGAAGGCAACTTCACTCCGCTCCGTTTCGCTTCGCTGCGCTGCGCTTCGCGATGTCACTGCGCGATGCGTTCGCATACACACCGTGGCGACGCAACACTGACACACTGAGGCGACGAGAGAGCACGAGTGTAGTTTTATCGGTATGCTCTCCCTCCCCCCGAGCGCGGCTGCCGATTGTCCCGGTATACGCCACGTACGGAACGTAGGCTGTTGGTGATTTGCGGTTTAGGAGAAGGCTGAAAAATAAATAAATCCAGGCCCCTTTTTTCCCGTAACACCCGGCCGTAGCCGGTCGTCTTCACGCAGAGAAGAATATTCTTGATTTGAAAATATCTTTAGTTTCAACGTGGAAATCTTGAAATGAAATTATATTGAAGAAAACTTGCTTGAATGAAGTCATTATATAGTGCAACCCAGAAAAAAATGAAATAAAAAGTTGAAATTCTTATAAAATTAAAAAGATTATAAGTAGTGATCTCTTGCTTATAGTATATGAAACAATCTATATCTTCTTATAAGAATTTCAACTTTTTATTTCAACATTTTTTTTCGTTAGTTTTACTGTATATATAGTGACTTCATTCAAGTTCTTCAAGCTAGTTTTCTTTAAGCAAATTTTCTTCAAACAAGTTTAACGCAGTATATAATCTCATTTCAAGATTTCTACGTTGAAACTCTAAAGATATTTTCAAATCAAGAACATTCTTTTTTTTCTGTGCACGCTTTGAGAAAACGTGCTCACGATTTTCTACCTGGACCGGACCACTCGACACAATTTCGTATCTCGCTGAAAATTGTTGGACTTGTATATGTTCTTTTCTCGCCTAAGGAGAAAAAGATCGAGCGGATTAACAATAAACGGGAATAATGTCCATTTTTACCAATACGGATTAACTTTAATCTAGGTTTAATTTACTTCTTATCTTTTTCTAATTTGTACATCTTAAGGACGTCTTATGTCCCGATTTTGGACATTGTGTTGTCTGGGAGAATAATAATACACGTATGTATTTCTTAATAAGTTAATCGACAATTAATCAAGTTGATCAAATTAATTGAGAGTCTAGTCGAAATAGGTCTACAATCAAACGTTGGAGAGAGAAAGAGAAAAGATGAAAAGCACGCCAAAAGTTCAGCTACACAAAAAAGGTTTTACACAAAAAAGAACGGAAAGTCATTGTCTGGACCTTTTCCGTTCTCATATTATGCAGATGCGTAGAATGAAAACGCTACGATCACGATATGCAAGCGAGTCGAGCGGGAAATAGGAAGAAAGGGCAGCGCGAGAAAAATCAAATTTATTTAAGTTGAGTAAGAAGTAAGAATATATATAACGAAGCGAGCGCGTTTTCGCGAAATTCGCGTCAACGAACAATTCCGATCCTCGACTACGGCCGCTTTCCCACGAGCTCGCCCTGTTTGGTTTTTGCATATTGAGCCCGCAACAAATGACTCACGAACGGCTTCGACATTTCTCGTGCTTGACGTAAGCTCGTTTCCATCTTCCGATTGAGGCTCCGCACAAGACTTTCGTATGGTAACGTAGTGTAACGAAACGTGGGTCAACGCACAAGAAACGTATCGGTTACGGCGTTATACGTCAATACGTTTCTCGTGCGTTGATCCACGTTACGTTACGCTACGCTATCTTACGAGAGTCTTGTGCGGAGGTTCTAAGTCTGACCGTCGGAACCGGAGGTTTTCGGAATCCGCGAGCGAGAAGAGGGATCGCGCACGGCTGATTCACTTCCGGCTGCGGTCCGCGACGCGAATCAGGATAGATCCTATCGGAGGAGCCTGGCTCGTTCACTGGATCCGTCGCGGTGCGCGAGGCGAGGCGCGCCACGGTGAAGCGTAAAACGGAACGATTTCGGGGTCGCCGTCCCACATTTTTTCAAGAGGACTGCTCAAGAGGTTCCTGTTCACGAGAGCGGTCTTCGAATCCGTTTGTCGGACACGCCGATACTATCATTCAAATATGCTTCTACGATATTGTTCGCTAATCTCGCCCAATAATTCTTATCTAATGCTAAAGATGATTTGGACCAAACTCCGATCGACTCGATCGGTGGATTAATTTAACGGACTCGCTGTAGAGCAAAACTTTCAACTATATAAATTTGTCGTCCCTAATCTAATCTTCTTTTCGATATGACAAACAGCAAAAAATTAATAATTTCATCCATATTACTAAAATAATGCAGGTATTAACTCGATAAGCTAATCGGAGTTTAGTCAAAGTCACCCCGAACTGTTGATCGATGGTCGCTATCTATTGGCGCGATTCCCGGTCATCGGTGCCACTTGCTGACGTAAATCGCGCTATCAGGGAGAAAGTCGACGCCCGCTATGCGCGTATTCGACGCTGTTTTTACGATCGTCTTTACGTGAGTTTTTGGAGAACGAAAAACACGGCTCTCTCGATCTCACGCGGAAATTTCTCCGGATTCCGACGATGCGACGTCGTTGCCCGTTTGCATGTTTCCGCTAGGAGAAAAAGAGAGACTGAACTAATTCTTATTCCCGGCGTCGCGTAAACGTGACAATCGGTGACGATTTTATTCGTTGGCGCGGGCGGCAAGGTAAGGATGATCGACCACCGCGGAAATACGAGTAAGTACGAGACGCGAGAACACACACGGACGACGCGTCTCCGATTGGAATTGGGGTGTCCACGATCTCTCGCATGTTCTCACGTTCCTCGCGAGGAATGCCGCTAAAACGTGACGGCCGAAAATCCGCCCAGATTCGTCGGTTGAGGTATCCGCCTGGCGTTTCTCTCGGTGAGTGTCGAGCTACGTTAAGGAGGCTCTTACCCGGCTGCTCTAATCAATGTAGCAACCGAAAAATTATCATTAATAATTGGTTATAAAATTATCGGAAAATTAAATAAAAAAATAAATAATGATTTTTACATAGTGTAAGAGTAAGTTATATGTTCTATTAGTGTAAATATTAAAATTTATACAATAAGTCAGTTGACTATGTCAGTGCTAAAGAGCAGAACATGCGCGTGTCACAACGTCGTCTGTAGCAGTCTGCAGCTAAGTGAGGTGTAGCCGTGTAGCGTTGTAGCGAATGATGCGATGAAGAGATGGAGCCAAAAGAAAGATATAACGTGAGAATGCTGAGAGGGAAAATGAAAGGAAAATTCGCGAAAATAAAGGTTGTCAATGCGCGAGAGAATAATTATGCCGCTACCATACAGCGCAGAGAAAAGACATGTGCAAGTGAGGTTAGAAACTTCGCGCGATTTTGACACTCGGAAGATCATTCGTCCTAACCTCTCGTACGTCATATTAAAACTACAATATCTTTTATAACTAATCGTCAACACCAAGTTTTCTTCTTATCATTAGAAAGATTATTATTTTAACTACAATTCCTTAGTTTTTTGTTTACCTGGCTCGCAAACTTGCCAAGAAAATACATCATTTCCGGTAAAAATTTTAGTGTTTACCATATGCCCTGTGTTAAAAATGCGAATTTCAATACTGATATTTTTACAGTTTTTATCGTCAACCTATGCTCAAGTTTTGGGCATCGGTCCGTTGTGGTTCACTTTACAACATATATTAATTTCATAAAGATCTGTCATATTATGATCGAGGTAAGAGCCTCCTTAAGCGTCGTCTACAATGGCAACAGGAATATGCAGTAAGACGTAAGCAGTAAGCTATTGACCAACCACAGTCGATTATTCTTGTGAATTGTAAAAATCCCATTAGTCAATAACTTAATGCTTACGTCTTACTGTATACTCCTACTGCCATTGTAGACGACGCTTTAGAGCGCTTAGAGCGTTCGTTAGCGCGACGTTACGAGATATCACGGTGGCAAGAGTTCCGTTACGTCCCGTATCGATGTTTGGCTTTGTATACAAGGCCCCTTGGCATCATTTGATACGTGAAATTCGTTCATTACGAACTCTTTAAATCTCGTAGAGCGATTTCGCTACTAATGTATTAGAGTGATTACGATAGTCATTCCAAAAGAGAGGGTTATCTCTCTAATTTGAGTATAAATACGGCATCATAAGATAGGAGTGAACTTTTCACTCAAATTTTTAGAGAGGCTTCTCTACCGAAGTGTTACAATCTTACTCTAAAGCGAATCGGAATTCAGCCAATCACAGATGAGCTGCTCGTCTGTGATTGGCAGGATTGGCTGGATTATAATTCGTGATTTGCAACCCCAATCCGCGTCCGCAATAGTGTGACGCACGGGCTTTGAGTCTAGCTCATCACTAAAGATCGGCTGATAAATGACTCTAATAGGTGAAATTTTCCACTCAAAATTGTAGAGTGGCGGAATTCATTCTTATGGACACTGATTTATTGCACTCGAAAAGAGTGCAATAACTTTTAACTCCAACTTATAGAGTGCAATTTGACTCTTTCTTATAGAGTGGCGAATCGCTCGAAGTGAACAATCTCATGCATCTTTCACTTTTTGTTATACTTGCATTTCACTCGTTTTTAGTGATATTTCACTCTTCGCCTTTTAGAGAGGACATAAGCCGTGCTTGAGAACAGAGTTGAAATGTTTGTCAGCATGATATCGTTATTAGAAATATGTTTATCGCGGCATCTCGGTTGCGTTAAGATGTTAATCATGTATGTTTCAGGGCGGAGCATCTTGACGGAGATCCCGCCACTACTCGTCGATTTTTCGGCAGCGAATGGCAATTATGGGCAACGTTGCGCGGCCTTGATTTAAGAAATCGATTACGAGATAGTCGGGAAGATTTTCGCAATGATGTGTCAGCGCGACGAATCACGGAATGAGATTGCCAAGAATGCGAGTCGTTGCGTCGGCGTCGAATGTTTCATACACGCTAAGGTGCAGCCGTGCATTGTGACATTTCTCAAAAAACTATTGTTATTGCAAAAAGATGTATGAATATAAAGCACAACTCTCTCTCTCTCTCTCTCTCTCTCTCTCTCTCTCTCTCTCTCTCTCTTTCTCTCTCTCTCACTCTCACTCTCACTCTCACTCTCACTCTCTCTCTTTCTCTCTCTCACTCTCTCTCTCTCTTTCTCTCTTTCTCTCTCTCTCACTCTCTTTCTCTCTTCAGCAGATCTACCTCAAACATGTTGAGCTTGA